TTTAGTGGGTGATTGGACGCACCAAGTTTGTGTAGAGCTTAGGTTTTCGTTTTGTGGGTCGAGGATTGACGAGAGAATTTGTGAGTTATTTTTTAGGGTTTGAATGTTTTGGGGATGGACGTTGTAATCTTTTGGTATTGCTTTTTGATCAAAACCGTTTTGTAAGAGATAAACGTCAATACGAGTTTCGATCAGATGAAGATACCACTTTGCCAAAGACTCTTGAAAAGCCCCATTGTTGACTAAATTCAGTAAATCTGTGTATCCTATTCGTTTTGTTCCAAGTATATCCTCCATTTGTTATTTCTTTGTGTTTTTTATTGTTTTTCATTACTATTCAAAGATGAAAAAAGTTATATCCAAAAATGTTATTTGAAAAAAATAGTAATTATTTAAATAATAAAAATATCACAAATTATTAATAAAATCAGAAAGGTATTATTATACAGGAAACTATATTAAAATTATAACTCTAATTTAGAGTGTAATATAGAAAATGTACCACAGAAAACAAACCATAATTAAACTATAATAAATAGTATATTTAATTATCCTCTAAGAACTAAAGTAAAACAGTTATCTTGGCTTTTTCTTTCCTTTACAAAATTCCCTCTTTATAACAAAGAACCCATCAAAGAAAAGAAAAAATTGAGTCACAATGAAGACGTTTTTACTTCAAATAAAAACATGCCCAATCAGTGAAGTAAACATTATTGTGCGCCTTTGTTTTATTTCCAAGTTAAAAGTCTTTAAAGAACTTCAAATCAATTACCCAAACATCATGAGTCAGAAAAAGACTGTCCCACTGAGTCAAATTGTCGACTACGCAACAAATGAAATGCAGCCCAGCCCCAACTTGAAAACTTTTGCCACATTGTCAGGCATTGTGAAAAGCATTCCAGATGCTAAAATGGCTCTTAGAATACAAATTGTTAATAAGATGAAGTCGTACTGCAATGGGTTTCTTCATAAAAAGGAAATGTATTACACTCTTTGTCTTACTGACTACCTAGTGAAGCAAGCCAAAGATTTCAGACCACAAGTGGTTAATTCCGATTTCCTACAGCTTTTTGAGAGAGCTGCTGAATTAGATGTTTGTATATTATAATATTATATATTATTATATATTATTATATAATATTATATATTATTATATATTATTATATGTATTATTATAACTATAGTCGAGTATTATAATATAATAAACTACAATTAAACTATTGTTTTTATATTCACAGATAGAAGCTCAAAACCACTGGGTTCAAACCATCTTTGGTGAATGAAAAGGCGATCAAAATTATATTGACATGGGGACAATTATATCCTGATGAATTATGCGAATATACAGTGTTGAGAGATAAGTACTTAACTGGAGAATCATTGCCAGTGTTTGGTAATGGAGAATATAGTCCAACAAATGAACTTAGTGTCGAGAAGAAGAACGATACAATTGAACAGAAGATACAAAGTTCATCAGCTGAATTGAAGGAGTGCTCGAAACTCATTACAGAGACAATCGAAAAGGATGTTGGGTCAATACAAATACAGTCACTCAAAGCATTATATAAGAGAGCAGTGTTACTCAACAGCCAATTCAATACACTTCTCGTCACACTTTCTAACACATCGAATGACGTGGAACTGCTTCAGAAATACACACAAGTCGAAAATGAGTTCACGTCGATGCTCTCGAAGCTCATCAACACCGTCAAATTGTTTGTATTGCACTATAATTCTTTTATTAATTATTCTATAAACTATAGCTTTATGATACTTCTGAAACTATTCTCTCACAGAACTCAAAACTATATTTTATAATTGTTTTAATTATAATTTAACCATACTAATAATAATCAACTAATATATAGACCAAGTGAGACTTCCTTGTATCGTACATACACTACTGGACATTTGGTTGAAGGAGAAGACGAGCAAGAGACTCACTACAAAACAAATAACAAAGAGAGTTCGATATTTAACGACACAACACCTATCAACCCACAAGACGTCCAACAATTGGAGCTGAAACGAACAGCCAAAAAGTCCGAACCACTCAAGCTAACGATTTTGGAACAACCAGAAACATGCGATGACCTAACAGAGAAGTGCGTAGTTCAACTCAAAGCCGATGCCGATCTTTCAGACTCTGGAAGTGTGAATGAAAAAAATACGTTGCTCAAAAAGAGAGGCGCTTCCAAGCACATGCCCCGTGTTTCAAAAGATGTTTGAAGCGCAGGTTGTCTGTATGTTGTTCGGCTTTTTACTTATTCTTTTTTACTATTGATTTCTAACAATTTACTATACTATTATAGTTTTACTGAATATAGTAAATTTAACTATTTAATATAGAAAACGAGTGAGTTAGAACACATCATCGACAATTGCGGTAAGTACGTCTTCGTGGCCAACGACCTGTGGTTCATCTATTACATTTACGAGTGATGAGTCGTTAACGACTGAAGTGACTGTGATGTCTTCTTTTGGGGTCAGAAGTGATGATTGTTCATAGTTGACTGCCAAAATAGGCGTCTTCTCTTCTTTTTTCTCTTTCTTCTTTTCCTCATTCTTGTCGATTTTGTGCGGCTGTGACGCCTCGAGTGCATTCAAAGCCTTTTCTTTCTCCGATTTGTCGTCCAAGTACTTTTTGTACAGTCCATTCCAAATGGCTTCGATTCGATCGCGAATTTCGGGAAATTTGGGTCGCTTGTTGGGATCGTTGTCCCAGCAGTCGGCGATTAATTGAGAAATTCCTTCTGGGAAGTTCTTAGGAATGTCCAGTCTTCCGCCTTTGATAACAAAGTCTGAAACGTCCCATGAGTGGTTAAACGTTTGACTCAAATATGGCACTTTCCTAGTCATCACTTCCAATGTTAAAATTGCGTACGCAAAGACATCGACTGGTTGCCCATATTCCGTTTTCTCCTTAGACAATAACTCGGGTGCCATATATAACTATCAAGTTAGTATTTATAGTATTATTATAATACGTATAATAAATATTATACTTATTAATAATATTATTATAAAAAGAACTATTAATATCAAAAAGAAGAACAAACAGGTGTACCGACTCCTTGTGTCATTCCATTGTTACTGACTACATTGGAATAACTGATGTCTCGACTTGTCCCAAAGTCCGATATTTTAGCATTCACTTTCTCCTTCTTTCTCATTGAAAAGACTAAGACGTTCTCTGGCTTTAAATCTCTATGAATAATTAAAGAAGAGTGCAAGAATACCATCCCATTTGCGACATCAGTCAAACACTTTGTAGCTAAGATATCGGTGAACTTTGGACTTTCATAGACATCTTTCAAACTGCCGTATGGTGCGTATTCGGTTACAATGGCATATTGGTCAGGAGTATCTACACATCCAACAAAGTTGACTATATAAGGGCATCGCGTCTTATTCATCATGACAACCTCCTTCCTGAAATTCTCAAGGACATCTTCGGGCCATGAGAAGTTCTTAGTCTTCTTAATAGCAACAACGTTTCCTCGATACTTCCCCAAGAAAATGACACCAAAAGAGCCTTCGCCTATCACGCGGTCTTTCACAAACTCTTCGTAGTCCAATTTGACACTATTCATACTCTCACACCCTATTTTAATGGCCGTGTGCTCTTCTTCAGCTTTGTCGTCGTCACATTGACACGCCATTAAGTCAACAATTTCGGTGGGTCTGCATGTGCACAAAAACTTGCACTTGACTTCGATTTCTTGGAAGATTCCAGCAGCCAATTTGCCTGTCTTTGGACTGAACGAAATGGTGAAGTGGTGGTTCTCCGTCTCTTGTGGATTAAACGAGTATTTGTAAGTCTTTTTGGTGTTATTCAAAACCCTAAGTGTCTGTCTTAACTCTTCGTCGACAGGCGCCTTAGTTTTGTCGTACCCAAAGGAGAGAGTGTTAGTGTCCAAGGACAACGGGAATTTGTCGACTGCGGTGAACTCGTACGCGTAATTGCCGATCTTGAATTTGGTTTGTGGCGTCCTCTTCTTGTTCTTCCTCCACACGCCGAAGACTAAAATAGCAGCGACGCCGCATCCTATTAACAGTAAGAACGATATTAAACACAATACAATAATCAGAGCTTTACTTGTCTTCTGCTTTGTATTTAAAACACACGTCCCATTAACAAAGGTGTAGTTATTGTGACACTCACACACCGAATATGTACAATACTCTTGTGTCAATTTTTTAATTGATGTAGTCAATGATGGATATGTATAATCAGTGTTTATTGTATGGAACCCGCCCAGCCATGCTGTCTTTGCAGATGTACTGGCCGAGTATCCCAAGTATGAGTACGCAATCGTCGAGTTAATTTTGATGATAGTAACAAATCTCGGGTGGAAATTTGGGTCTAAAATGTTATCAAAAAAGACGTAGCCTCCTCCACAAAATTTTAAAGTTGGTGTCGAGTACCCCGGCGTCCCCACTAAAATGACTTGTCCGTATGAAATGATATTTTCAAAGGGGGAGTACTTCAGTGGTTTTAAGAACTCAGTAGTACCCTCTTGATAGAATGGAACAGACAAAATGTCTTCTTTCTCGTATTTAGTTTTCTCGTCAAACACAGAGACTTTGTTACTCCCGGACACTGGAACGTATAATATATTGTCTCGAGTCATTCTAATTGGGTCATATTGAAAAGTTTCTGAAGTTGAGTCTGCAAGTTTGATGTTCCGAAAAAACTTGTATTGTCCAATAACAGAAGTAAAGTCTGGGCCATTGTAATAACTATAAACTGTTATTTTAGTGTCGTTTTTAACAGCTACAACAGTGTTTCCAGCTGATATATACTGTCCACAATCACCAATATCCTTGTGTGATATAGTTAGATATGCGGTGGAGAGGGCATTCAATTTACCTTTAATACATGTCAAAATGAACTCTTTCTTAATCTTTTCTGAATAAAAATAGAGGTGATGCGTCATTGGAGCATCTTGATCGATTTGTTGATTATACGGAGACTCCACTTCAACTTGTGGGGGTTGTTTTGTTAATGAGTAAAGTGTCAAATTGCGGTCATACTGAAGCCAAGCCTCTTCTTTCATATCAATGATTTGTGGACGACGAGGACTGGACATCTTTACAGTACCTGTTCGGTTCTGAACGATTGACAATGTTGAGTCCCATTTGAATTCTTTGGGATCGGAATAGTCATAATACACAGGCAAGTTGTGTCGAGATTCTGAACGTTCATTATACCCAATATATGGGACAAAGTGTTTTAAAGTTTCATTCACCTTACTGATATCGACTTCTACTAAGCTACCTGTCACAGAAAGCGCCAAAAAAAGAGGAAATAGCAAATGCATTTGAATTATTCAGTTTTTCCTTATCATTTTAGAGTTCCATCATTTACACCATTGTGTGTTACTTCGGCATTTGAGGACTTTGTTGGTGTTTTTAACACTCATAAAGTTGGTTTTGCCACACCAATCAAATTAATACGAAGTTATTTCCATGTTTTATTGTTTTATTTTAATTAATTTATA